TGTCATTTTCTGCCACCAGATAGGCTCCGCCCACAAAACCCTTCATCACTGTTTGCAAACACCTAAGCTCCGCCCACCTCGGCTTCCTTCTGTTGTCCGCTGTAGCGGCTTGCATGTCTCCGGGTAGCACTCCACTGACTCTCCTCGCAGAGCTGCCCCGCTTTAAACTGCTGTCTCCGTTCACCTTTGCATTTGGACGCGCATCCCTTCATCCAGAAGCAGGCAGCAGCCCGAGGGTCTCAGCAGCCGGAACCGTGGGCTTTATAAGGAAATGATCTCACCGGAGCTTAATTTCAATTTATTTACGAGTGACCTTTCACATTACTTCAAAAACCAAGTTAAAGTCGGGCTCTTTGGCTCTGGGGTTGGACTGTCGGCAGTGCTGGGATTCAGCGCCGCTTATGCCTGCTATTACCTGATCTCTGTGGCCAAGGTAAGGTGACAGTAAGTCGGCAGCAAATCAATGGGCTGGTCATATTTGCAGAGATGATGATGTCATAATGCATCGGGCTGTATTACGTCATTTTAGTCCTGCCAGTATCATCTCGTCACTCAGTCCGCGTGATGCAAGCCTGCGCGAGCGCACAGCGGATACTAATGTCATAATGCGGCTTGGAATATGTTGCCTATTAAAGCGTTCATCTGTCAAAGGAACTCATGCTGCTTACTCTCTTGCCGTTATGCACAGGTACAAAATAGCGCCATAAAATCATATTTCCCCATTTTTACAGCTAAGACAGGGGAAAACATTTTAAGGTAGTGACCTTGCATACTGTATTATATTTCATAGTGCTCTAATGTTCACCACACAGAACAAAACACTGATTGATTCTTAAATATTGATAGATGCTAAACGTTTAGAAGGACACAAATCCTGGGTGATCGTCTTTAGTCAAAGCTCTCTGGAACATTTATTTTATTTATCAAATATACCTGAATGGTGCACACAGAAATATAAAACTATATAATTATAAATTATTTAGCAAGTTATTAAAACTACTATTAAAACGTATTTATGGGCTATTCTATCAAGTCACTTAGGGTTAAACGTTTCTTTTCTTGAAGTTTGATCAAAAACTGATTCTATTTATATTATAATAAAACAATACAATATATTTAAAATATGATATAACATGATTTGTATTATTTATTAATCATAATTATATATATATTATGATTGTTATTATTATAGTATATTATATTTTTTATTATTATAATAATATATTTATTTTACCATAAAACAATACAGTATATTTATAATATGATATAAAATTATTTGTATTATTTATTAATATTATTTTTTTATTATGCATTAACCATAGTTGTTATAATTATATATTATGATTGTTATTATAATAATATATTTATAATAATAATAATAATAATAATAATACATGTATTTTATCATATAAAATTGTAATATAATTAATAAATATGCTTTTTATATTATGATTCTGACAATGATTGTTATCATACATTTACTAAAATGTAGTTTAAATTGGCAAGCATCAGTATTATGAAAATAAATAAATACATTTCTTTTCTAGAAATATTGTTAACTGTTTCAGTTTTGCTTTCTGAGATAATCACCAATCCCTTTGCTCTTTGTTTTGCAGAAACCCATACTGATAGCTGGAGGAAAGAAGTTTCATCAGTTCATCAAATACCAGCAATAGTTGAGCATTCTGTTCAGATATATTGTCTAAAATCTTGGCACCAAAGGAATCTAGGTTGTTGAATGTCACAAACAGTAGTTTTGACTAAATAATCGCGAACAAGTAGTTTGATTTGTGTTTGCTGTACAGCACTTGCAATAGAAGTCTACTGGGCAAGGCTTTGATAAACATTAAAACTCACACTTTTTCCTTAAGTATTTTCAAAGTTATATCACATTTATTTAGTGCTTATACATTACAGTTTGTAATAAACAGTATTGACGGTACAAAATACTTAAATTGATAAAATTACGGATCACAGACTTAGACAGATTGACAGTTCAGTTTTATTGCAGTGATGGGCAAATGGAGTAATGCAGGTAAGTAAAATCAAGGTAATAGCAATTCAGAGTATAGATGGAGAGGTAACTGGGGTTTACTGTCTTTACAGGTGCTGGAGAAATCATAGACGTGGAGATGAGGTACCAGGAATGCACACACACCTCATCTTCTTTTAGGTAAGTATCCAGGTAATGCCAAACACAGGAAGACTTGGGAACACAGGAGGAAACAGGAACTCGGGTGAAACACTGGAGAACGAAGGAGACAGGAACTCTGGAGAATACGGTCTTAACCAGGCAACTAGGGTATCTGAGCTGTGTGCTTAATTATGGCGAGTTAACAAGGTGAATGGTGTCCGGTGTCGTTCAAGGCCGACTGAGTGCAGGAGTGGATCAAGGAGCATGATGAGAACTGTAGTGCAGATGTGACCCAGGAAAAGACCAGAGATATTGACAGTACTCCCCCTCCCGGAAGGTGTGTCCTTGTGCCAAGAAGAGTACCACCGGGGAGGAAGGGTGGGTGCCCTGGTACTGGGAAGGTAACCAAGGAAGTGCCAGCAGACAAGAGTGTCTCCAGGACGGCACCGGTAACTCAGGGAACCAAAGAGGTGCCAGCAGCAAAGGAGGCCAGGGAGGTACAGGGGGCACTGGAGACACAGGGGGCACCGGAGATACTTGGAACACTGGAGATACAGATGGCGCTGGAGATACATGGACATGGTAGCCCCCACCCCTCAAATTTTCTTGGGGAATTCTAGGGTGAAAGTGGGCTCCGGGTGAGTTCTGGGGTGAGCAGGGCCACCTGGCTGAGCACTGGGGCGAAAGCAGGCTCCTGGCTGAGCTCTGGGGCGAGAGCAGGCTCCTGGCTGAGCTCTGGGGCAAGAGCGGCCCAAACACAAATAATTGCTAGAGCCATTACAGACAGCGTTGTAGATTTCATTTCATGAGCTCTGGGGCTGGAGCGGACTCTGAGATGAGCTATGGGGCTGGAGCCGACGCTGCACTGTGCTCGGGGTTGGAGCCGACGCTGGAGCGGGCTCGGGGGCTAGTCTCAGCCTCAGACATCACGCCCATGCACCGTTGGCTGAACGTCTGATGCATATGGCCCACAAAATTGGAAACTCTTCAGGAGTTTCAAATTCGTCATCTGATTGGTTGAATTATACAGGATTTCCTGGAGACGCGTGTCACGTTCTTTAACATTCCACCTGGAAACAAAGATGCCTTGTCGCCAAACACTCTAATGTTAGAAGAAAGCTGTCGTGTTTACAACTGTGACAATGAGCGCTTATCAGGATCAACTAAGCATTAGATTTTCAAAGTATGTGAAATATGTAAAGTTCGCAGCATTGACTTTAAAATACGTCCCAAGAGTTTTACACACCGGTCTGTTATTTTGGGGACATTTCCAAGCCCCTAAACACACGGCACAAAATTAAACGTGATTGGTTGCTTTACCTGTCAGTCATATGGCCTCTTGGGCGGTCCTAGACCTTCAGCAGTTCCTAGACCTTCTGCCATCAGTCTGAAGGTCTGGCTACGCGAGACTACTCAGGGGCTGCAGCCGAAGCTGGAGTGGACTCAGGGGCTGCAGCCGAAGCTGGAGTGGACTCAGGGGCTGCAGCCGAAGCTGGAGTGGACTCAGGGGCCAACGAACTCGCTGGAGTGGACTCAGGGAACTAAGCATTAGATTTTCAAAGTATGTGAAATATGTAAAGTTCGCAGCATTGACTTTAAAATACGTCCCAAGAGTTTTACACACCGGTCTGTTATTTTGGGGACATTTCCAAGCCCCTAAACACACGGCACAAAATTAAACGTGATTGGTTGCTTTACCTGTCAGTCATATGGCCTCTTGGGCGGTCCTAGACCTTCAGCAGTTCCTAGACCTTCTGCCATCAGTCTGAAGGTCTGGCTACGCGAGACTACTCAGGGGCTGCAGCCGAAGCTGGAGTGGACTCAGGGGCTGCAGCCGAAGCTGGAGTGGCCCCGGGGGCGGGAGCCGAGGCTGGAGCCGACTCAGGGGCTGGAGCCGACGCTGGAGCCGACTCAGGGGCTGGAGCCGACGCTGGACTGTGCTCAGTGGACAGTGAACTCAGGGGCTGGAGGGAAAGGATGTGGTGTTCTGGAGGAAGATCGACTGAGCAAGAGTGCATAAGGGATATATTGCTCCAATGAGCAGTTGTTAGTATCCCAGGGCATCGAGTATAATGGTTCATACAAACCTCAATGGAAGATCGTTATCAGCAATTCATCCTCCAAATAGACGGAGGAGGCCAGCTCCAAGAATTCCTCTGCATATTTGGCAAGGGGATAGCCATTTTGTGAGAGGGAGTATAGCAGGTCAGCAGGATGGAGAGGAATGCTTGTACTGCGATCAGTGTAGGTCTGGTCTTCTGTTATGGATCACAGACTTAGACAGATGGACAATTCAGCAACAGTTCAGTTTTATTGCAGTGATGAGCAAATGGAGTAATGCAGGTAAGTAAATCAAGGTAATAGCAATTCAGAGTATAGATGGAGAGGTAACTGGTGTTTACTGTCTTTGCAGGTGCTGGAGAGATCAAAGACGTGGAGATGAGGTACCAGGAATGCACACACCTCATCTTCTTTTAGGTAAGTATCCAGGTAATGCCAAACACAGGAAGACATGGGAACACAGGTGAAACTCTGGAGAAAGGAAGGAGACAGGAACTCTGGAGAATACAGTCTTAACTCTAAACGAGACCAGACAACTAGGGTAAGCTTTGTGCTTAAATAGGGTGAGTTAACGAGGTGAATGGTGTTGGGTGTGGTTTAAGACCGACTGAGTGCAGGTGTGGATCAAAGAGCATGATGGGAACTGTAGTGCAGATGTGACTGAGCAAAAAAATGGATATCGTGACACAAATTCAATTGAACATAAAGAATTAAAACAAATATATAATGTAATTTTACAGTTGTGCTGGAAAATAAAGTGAAGTATTTATGCAGTAGTAATATTACATGGGAACACAGGTGAAACTCTGGAGAAAGGAAGGAGACAGGAACTCTGGAGAATACAGTCTTAACTCTAAACGAGACCAGACAACTAGGGTAAGCTTTGTGCTTAAATAGGGTGAGTTAACGAGGTGAATGGTGTTGGGTGTGGTTTAAGACCGACTGAGTGCAGGTGTGGATCAAAGAGCATGATGGGAACTGTAGTGCAAGTATTTATGCAGTAGTAATATTTCCTATTTTCTTTCCTATTTTCATTTATTAATAATAAGTATAATTATTATTATTAATAATAATACTAACAATAATAATAATAATAATAATAATAATAATTATTATTATTATTATTATCTTGATACATAATCACAACACTTTTGGCCAAATTGTGAAGCCCTAAAAAAAGTACAGCAAAACTGGAGCTAGTTTTTAAATATCAATTTGATTTTCCTCCAAAATTGTGCAGACGTAGTGTCATTATTTTGGCCTTAGTCATAAGTAAGTAATTTTGTTAGAAAGTAAGATATTTGGAAACTAAGATATTTGATGAAAGATATAAGCACTATATTTATTCTTCTGCGGAGATATTTCTGAAAGTCGATAGATTGTCATTGGTAAACGTGCCAGATTGGTCTCTCACTCTCTGTCTGGCATTTTGAAGGGTGGGATTTACATGTCTATAAAAAACTTTCCCACATTCAGAGTGCAGGCTGTTTTTGATGGCAGTGACTGCAGACAGACTTGGTCTAGAGTGAAAATTTAATGATGGCTCTGAAATTACATCGCACACATGTAGCTCTGCATGTCGTCTGCTCGCTGAGAAAGCAGGCTTTACTGTAGAGCTGTAAGACAACACGAGAGCCCTTTGACACAGATTCTCTCCACAGCGTCTCTGGAGGACTCAGCCACTATCAGCAGAGTCATGATGAGGCCAAATAAAACAACAGAAGAGTCCATCCTTCATTTTTGAGGAAAACATCATATATGTTTACTGGATTTTCAGGGAAAAATAAAAAAATACTGGTTTCTAGCTTTGCATCAGTACTATGGCACAGGCCCCCCCAACAAAAAAAAAGTATGCCCATATTTTTATTTATTTGAATTCTTTGTCTCTTACAATGGATTGTACATAAATATCTGCTCCATTAAAAAAGGGTCTAGCAAAACCCCTGCTGACCCCAGACTTTTGAATGGAAGTGTATATCTATACATTTACATTTATTCACATAGCAGCTGACAAATGTCATAACATGTACAGTAAGCAATATATCATAAAGGTGCTAATAGATTCACCATAAATGGAATATATTAGTGATTTTTGATAACTGATGCTAATGTTAACAACAACATGTGCCATTGAAAACGGACAATTATGTAGTACGTATTCATAATTATCTAAAATATGCCATAAAATGTCAAAAAAATTTAGAAGCAATTTTCACTCAGAAATGGATAAATCTCACAAATATTTACCAATTATCAGCAATAAAAATTTTTGTGGAATTTTTGAAATATAAAGACTGAAATAGTAGTTTCTTGTTAAACATGCTTCAAAAATGTTTTATTTACAATTTTGAAAAGTCCTTTCTTTTCAGTTTGTATAATCAGTGTGCTATAGTCATTTTATACTATGTTTTATGTACAATTATTTTAGATAGTGTAGCAATTGAAATTCACATTGCTCAAATTGTAGGCAGGGTAGGTGATTTGGTTCAAAAACATTTTTTGTTATGCTGGTTGAAAGTTTCGTCACATCCTAACAACAATCACTAAGTTAAGAAGGCATAGGACCATAAAATGTTCATCCAATCATATACCTCGTTCTGAGGGCTACGATAGGCTGTCCTACCTGGCTGTCAACGTATGTATTTGCATACTTCCATGCACCCTGTTCGCACAGACATGAAATGTCATCGGCGCGTTCCACCCGTCCTGTGTGCCTTCATGTGTTTTGGAGGAGGCGTGGCTCTGGAGAGTGATTTTGCAGGGAGGGTGAGATCTTATACTTTGAAAGCTAGCTTACTATTGCTAGCCTTTCCGAAATCACCTACCCTACTTTTAACACGTTATCAAAAAGGAGTTATTTACAATAATGCTGATGTGTCGGTATTTAAAATGTCCATTTATTCATTATTTTTAATCAAACATCATTTTAAGTAGTTATGTTTTACTGATATACTTTATTGATATATATTCTACTAATATATTTTGTTACAAATACCAAATATTTTATGCTCTCAGCTACATGTAGATTAGTTTGATAGTTTTTTAGAGAATCATTTCAGTCAGGATCTCCATCACTCTAAATATAGAGGTTCAAACTCAAGATATGGGTTATTATACATGCTTAAGCATTAAAGTTAGTTTGCATATAAAAGCACAAACTGTTTTAAAGGCATTTGCACATAAGAACAAAGCACATTATTTTGTTTCCAATCCAATTTAATTCATACTGTACATTTTTAGTGGCTTAAGAGGCTGCTGTGGTGTGATACGGATTGCTATACAACCATTGTACTACCATGGTACTTAATGGTACTTTTGTTAGTTGAGTTACATTCCTATAACAGTTTCTCTCTTTGTATTATTTATGAGCGCTTAAGCTAGTATTAACACACAATTCCACAGTTTCACTGAATGTTAAATCAAGCTGTTCTGTGTGTCCGGCAGTGAGCTCATTACAGCACCAGATGGAGGCCAGATCTCTCTGGATTGGTTTGACAATGATGAGAGCGCGTCCCACCCGGACCAGTCCATGCGCCCCACTGTGCTGCTGCTCCCGGGACTGACGGGCACAAGCCGCGAATCCTACATTCTACATATGGTACAGCAAAGCCGGGATCTGGGTTACAGGTGAGCTGCCTGGTTCACAACCTTTAATTTAGAAAAGGGTCATGCTTGTTCTCTTGACAAAGAATGCTTGTTATACTATGGAAGCATACTGTAATTTTAAGAACTGAAAAATCCACATTTACACATCACAATTAAGCAATTTCCAGTCCAGTCACAGTGAAAAATAATAGCACATCTAGGGTTGCCAGATCCATGAACAAAACCTCTGCCACTCCCATGCCTAAAAAAAACTGAATTTAGCTGTCAAATTAAACTTACTGGCACAATGACTCACTGACTTCCGAAGCAAGTTGAACAGACTACTTTTATGATACTTGTTGTGATATTAGTATGGTGCTTTTTCATCCTTTTCTATGACTTGCACATCATTTTTGTGGATTTGTAATTCTTTAAAGCTCATTAATATAGATAAACTGATGTGTGGTATGCTTATATCAGATATTTTACAACAGCTTTGCACCTGAGTCAATTTCTCAGTTTCAGTAATGCACAATTGTGTTCTTCTTCATCTTCAACTTGAACTCTACCTGCACGTGTAGTGCACATCAGAAGCAACATAATTTCCATTAGCTGTGCATATTTTGTACTGAAAGATTCAGAAAGGCTTGAACGGATGCTTTTGTAAGCTTTATGCCACACCTGCGACAGAACATGTGTAGCTGCGTTGTAGATCCATGCGTTATGCGTGCTTACAATAACCCTGGAACATCTTTGTCAGACTCCACTTCTGAAGCTGCCAGTTCATGTAGACAGAAAGATATATATATATATATATATATATAGAGAGAGAGAGAGAGCGAGAAAGAGAGAGACAACAAACAGCTGAGCTCTGTATTAAAGCCTTCAGGGATGCAGAGATGGGCACTTTCTCTCCTTTTGGGCATCTGTCAGGAGCTCATTCTTGTAAACCTCGAGAGGCGTGAGGCAGTGAGGGCTACAGCAGCTCACTCAGCATTTTTCTTTGGCCTGTTCTCTGCTTAATTAATTGCAGCTTTGACCAGCTTTGCAGCTTAGCTAAGAGCAACGTTCCATGCCGCAGCAGAAAACGGCCCACCAGCCGCTAAAGGTACACTAGCACACAAGCAGTGACACATGTTAGTAGATGTAAAAAATGATGCAAAAAGCAAAGCTTAAAGTACTTTTTTGTAATTTTGTCAGATAAAGTGCATATAAATTATATTGTGGCGTCTTAAGCTAAATGAAGTGATAATCTGCAGTCAAAATCAGTGCAGATGCGATGCAGCACTTATTACACAACAACTGACCAATAAATAAATTTTTATGAAAAGAACGAGACAGAGGAGTAATATGAGAGGTGTGAAACTAGAAAAAAACAGAGACAGTGGTCTCCTATACAGTTTAGCAGTCATTGCACAACAATATTTGACCTCTGAATACCATGACTGACCAATCAAAATCAAGCATTCCACAGATCTGTGTAATAATATGTATTATTATGTTCTGGGACGCCTTTAGAATAGAAACAGAGTTGACCATTTATTACAATCCTTGTGTACAAGGTCAGGACACCACAGGTTTGTTATTGAGAACTAAAACTAAAACCATAAAAAAACAAATAAATAAAAACAGACATTAAAAATAACTAAAAATAGAATAACACATATATATATATATATATATATATATATATATATATATATATATATATATATATATATATATATAAATGGTGTAATTTAACTTATTTTATTTAAACTTATTTTTAATTTATTTAATTTGAAACACTAAAATATTGAAAACTAAACTTAAGACATAAGACATAAATACATATGTATCAATGGCTACCGGCAACAGGTTGGTTACCAGCATTATTCAAAATACCTTCTTTTTTGTTCAACATAAGAAGAAAAAAAATATTTGAAGCAATTGGTGAGTAAATAAGGACAACATTTAAATTTTTTTGGGTGAACTATCCCTTTAAAACAGAAACAATATTAATAGAATATTCATAAAAATTATAATAGCATATCAGTGATACAAAAATAACACTCATGCTATTATAAAGCACACTTAACTCTGATATTTTGACAAATCTAATAGTATATTGTTTAATACAGAAAATCTTGCCTACTAAACAACAACAGAATGACAGAACACTGCCACAGTGCTCTCAAAATATGTTTAAACATGGCATTAACCATTTCTGTCTCTGTCAGGTAGTCAGAAACATTCAAACTTAAAATGCATGCACCTGAATGGGTGTGGGCAACAAATACAATCACAAGGTACTTTCTGAATACAAATAAGGTAGCAATTAAACAAGAAAGACACGTAAAGCTCTTTGAATGCAATTTTATAATAGTTTTTTTATACTAGTCAGTGGGAACCAGAAACTGTTTGATTCCCTACACTGTAAAAAAAATTCCGAAAAATTTACGGTAAAAAAAACGGCAGCTGTGGTTGCTGGAACTTTACCGTAAAAAATACGGTAGCAACATTTTAAGGTTTTACGGTTTTAACTTAAATTTACAGTTAAATACCGTAATTTCATTAACTCATATAATGTTAATATACCAACCTATTGAAGTACTGAAATGTGTTTTGTAGCTTTGTAATGCACTGATAACCACCAAATGCAGGAGGTGATGAGAAAGTCACATGATGAACCAAAGCCCATCACAAGCAGCTTTTAAATAATAACATATATAGAAGGTGCACAGTGTGTCATTCACACAAACACTAAACACCATCACGGTGACACACATGAAACTGAAATAATGCAATAAACATTCATTTAACAACATTAGGTGTAACACACAACCCTAATATACAAAACCGATAAGAAAAAACTAAGAAGAAACATAGTTATTTCAACAAAAAAACATAAAATTTTAAATTCTGGGAATGTCAATTTATGGTTATTCACTGTAAATTATACGGTCTTTTACACTTCCAAAAACGGTATACTACCGTGAAATTATTGTCTAATACATGTAATGTCCATTACAGTTTTTCACCGTATATAGTAGGGGAATTTACCGTTAACCATTTAACAGGTTTTTACTGTAGCATTTTTACAGTCTTTTACCGTTAAATTCACGGTCATTTTTTACAGTGTATATTCTTCAAAATATCTTCTTTTGTATTCAACAGAAGAAAGAAACGCATACACTTTTGGAATAATGTGAGGGTGAGCAAAAACTGAGTTTTCATTTTTGAGTGAACTATCCCTTTAAATGAAAGAAAATTCTGATTATGAGATTATATAAAACCTGTGTAAAGAATGAGAGCAGAAAAGCTCCTAGAAGTAGTCAGACAAGGCCTGCACGCTCTACTGGTCCTGGAGGAATGTAGTTTGGCTGTACAGGGTGACATGTTACATGCTATATCAGATAACTCTGGTCTTGCTCTTATCAACTACATACATGTACCGTGTGTGATAAACAGGCAGTGAAATGGGGGGTTATTGCCCTCTTCAAAGCTCCCATGTGCAAGGAAATTATAGAATTTGAATTCACAACAGTTATACACATTAACAATTAATATCAATTGGTCAGGGACACAAACACTGTCAATGTGTGTGAATACAGAGGAGGTTAAGGCTAGCATCTCTATTACTAGAACAAACCTCTAATTCTTTGGCACATAACTCATCAACAAAAGATTTATGATATAATCATGCAGCTTGTTGAGAAGAGGTGTGCTGTTACATTTCTAAGTGAACTGATTTCCATCTGTCAACCACCAAAGCCCTAGCAACCGTGTAACAATGTGTAAAAACCACCATTGGTGTAAGTATTGATCCTCAGGGCAGGATCTGACAGAAACTCAAGCTGACCCGGCAGCATGACCAGACCTCCAAACAAACTGACCCGATGGAAATGCTGTGGTGGACTCGAGGTCAGCAGAACTACAAACAAACCTGCTTTCAAACATCACACAGCTCTTCCCTCAGGAGCAAACAGAATAGGCTGGCATAGGAAATTGATAACAGTTTAAGGAAAACGCTCACGATAAGTGATTTCAGAGAAGTTTTTAGAGTGTGTTTATTCATTAGAGGGCAGAAACGATGTAAAATGAATTTGGTTGTTATTAGCAGGCTTCCCATGGTTATGAAAAACCTGGAAATGTCAGCAAAGTTTAAAATGTAAAGTAAATATAAAGTAATATTACAAGTTTATATTAGAAGAATTGACTCTGAACTGCTGAATTATTGATGGGCATTAATACAAGTACATTAATCTGTTTGCCCTGTGTCTATTTAATGTGCTTATCTCAGTTTGTGATCCCTAAAATGCGTGTGTAAATGTAAGAACCACTTACATTTGTACATTTATTCAGTTTGCAGATCACTTTACAAGTCGCTTTTATCCAAAGCGACGTACACATGAGTGACGTACTTCCTTAAACTACTAATGAAATATCTTGTTTAGAAATACAGACCATTTCTATTTTTTTTTTCTTGTCAGTAAGAGTGTGGTGTAGTGATTTAAAACTATAATACAGTCAACAAATCTGGAAGTACTTTATTTAAATAAATGGACGCCTTTAGAACCAATCAGAATCAAGAATTCAGCCATGGACAAAAACTGTCAAACGGACCATTTCTATGAGTCCTCTCTTGTGTTTTTCAGATGTGTGGTGTTCAATAACAGAGGAGTATCGGGTGAAAAGTTACTGGTAAGGAGAATCTTTTATCTCCTCTGTGTTTTGTTCAGCTTTCTTTTTTAACTTAAACCAAGACATTGTTACGTTGAGCTCTGGCACAGGTGACACACTTCTGTCAGCATGAATATTACTAAATATATGGAGCTTGAGTCATTCGAATTAAAGTTATGTAATATTTGTTGTGCGAACAAGCCTTGTATACAAGAGCCTGTCGATAAATCCTTTCCTTTGACTCATGAACTTTGTTGGAATTCAGATGATAATGTTTCTCAGTGTGTATTTGCCATCAGAAGAGGCTTAAAATCCCTGCAGTAATACTTCATGTCAGAGAGCGAGTGATAATATGCTTGAACAAGTTGAAATGTGTTCATAGAAACCTTTGCAAATGCATATGTTTGCATATACCTCTATAGCTTGAAGGACAATTGAAATAAGTTTAGCCAGAGACCCTCAGCACACCACTTTAAAAAATCATTAATATACTTGAGATGAAATATCTTTATTAATACCTTAATACTTCATATTTCACTTTTTACCTTATATTATCATACCTTAATAAAGTTGATTAAGGTATACAAAATTTGGCAGAGAATACACCAAACTTTGTATGATAATTAAGGCTATAGCATAACATATTTTGCATCCCATTATTTCAAATAAAATATCAAACTCTTTTCTGAAGTTTCAACAAATGCTTTTCAATTAAATTGAAATTAATTGTATGAGTTTATATGATAATATATCAGTGCAAGTGCATACAGATGATCAGATCACTTTGAGATAACGTTCAAACTGGAGACTTTATATAAACCACATTCATGCACTGAGACTGTAAGATTCCCTGAGTATATATAAGGATGATATGAGCTTTGGTGTGTTTGTGTGTAAGAGCTCTTTCTCTCTCTCTTATGAGTATATATCCTGTGCTCTAGACGCCTAGGACTTACTGTGCAGCGAACACAGAGGATCTGGAGGTGGTCATTGAACATGTCCAGCGGACCATTGACAAAGCTCCGCTCATGGCGGCTGGGGTTTCTATGGGCGGGGGAGTTTAACACACATACAGGGGGTTATCCTGCCCTTAAATGGGAATTCAGCTGCTATGATCATCACACATACCAGGACACTCTAGCACTGTTTTTTTCCACTGATCTGAACTTTATAGTGCCTTTAATTAAATAGAGAGGCAGCATGCATTTGCCTTTGTGAAATACTCTACCATTCAAAAGTTTGGGGTCTCTTCTGCTCACCAAGGCTGCATTTATTAGTAAAAAAAAAAAAGTAAAACAGCAATATTGTGAAATATTTTTACAATTTAAAATAACTGTCTTTCATTGTAATATATTTTAAAGTTTAATTGATTGCTGTGATCAAAGCTGAATTTTCAGCATCATTACTCCAGTCTTCAGTGTCACATGATCCTTCATATATCATTCTAATATGCTGATTTGTCGATCAAGAAACATTTGTGACCTCATAAGGGTAAGTTTTTCGAAATTGAGATGTATACATCATCTGAAAGCTGACTAAATAAGATTTCCATTGATGTATGGTTTGTTAGGATGGGACGATATTTAGTCGAGATACAACTATTTGAAAATCTGGAATCTGAGGGTGCAAAAAAATCAAAATATTGAGAAAATCGCCTTTAAAGTTGTTCAAATGAAGTTCTTAGCAATGCATATTACTAATCAGTATTACGCTGCAGTATCGTCTGCTTCGTTAATACTTCATCTATTACAAATGTGCAAAAAGGAAACAAACCCATACACAACTGAAACATTGCTGTTTCCATAAAAAGCATTATATAATAATGTTCATTCCTGACTTGTATTATAAAGTGTTCCCAGTTCATGCTTTGTTCATGCATTTATTTCCCAGTCATTTGATGCAGATGAAATTTTCCAAAGCCTCACAGCATCATTTCACCCTAAATTTATACCTCTTTCTAAGTAAAAGCTGAGTTGGCAGCACAGTGCTCTAATCCGCTCCGTCTTACGGAAGGAAAAGGGTCAGCTTCATACGGCTTATGTATATATATGTGTGTGTGTGTGTGTGTGTGTGTGTGCAGGGCCGTAGCTGAGGTATGTGGGGCCCCGGTGAAGGTTGTACCTGTGGGCCCTATTTGAAATTGAGTAAATAGGCTAGCACAGATAAATAAATAGAACAAAAATGCAAATTCAATCATTTTTTTTTCAGGTTTAGCGGTGTTCAGGTACAGAATTGTTATCGACGAATGTAAAAGCATTGCATAGTCTTTACTGTTTAAATTATATATAGATTAATCCTTGTTAAAGCTACAAAATCCAAGTTATTCAAGAGCAGTACACACATACAGGGGGTTATCCTGCCCTTAAATGGGAATTCAGCTGCTATGATCATCACACATACCAGGACACTCTAGCACTGTTTTTTTCCACTGATCTGAACTTTATAGTGCCTTTAATTAAATAGAGAGGCAGCATGCATTTGCCTTTGTGAAATACTCTACCATTCAAAAGTTTGGGGTCTCTTCTGCTCACCAAGGCTGCATTTATTAGTAAAAAAAAAAAAGTAAAACAGCAATATTGTGAAATATTTTTACAATTTAAAATAACTGTCTTTCATTGTAATATATTTTAAAGTTTAATTGATTGCTGTGATCAAAGCTGAATTTTCAGCATCATTACTCCAGTCTTCAGTGTCACATGATCCTTCATATATCATTCTAATATGCTGATTTGTCGATCAAGAAACATTTGTGACCTCATAAGGGTAAGTTTTTCGAAATTGAGATGTATACATCATCTGAAAGCTGACTAAATAAGATTTCCATTGATGTATGGTTTGTTAGGATGGGACGATATTTAGTCGAGATACAACTATTTGAAAATCTGGAATCTGAGGGTGCAAAAAAATCAAAATATTGAGAAAATCGCCTTTAAAGTTGTTCAAATGAAGTTCTTAGCAATGCATATTACTAATCAGTATTACGCTGCAGTATCGTCTGCTTCGTTAATACTTCATCTATTACAAATGTGCAAAAAGGAAACAAACCCATACACAACTGAAACATTGCTGTTTCCATAAAAAGCATTATATAATAATGTTCATTCCTGACTTGTATTATAAAGTGTTCCCAGTTCATGCTTTGTTCATGCATTTATTTCCCAGTCATTTGATGCAGATGAAATTTTCCAAAGCCTCACAGCATCATTTCACCCTAAATTTATACCTCTTTCTAAGTAAAAGCTGAGTTGGCAGCACAGTGCTCTAATCCGCTCCGTCTTACGGAAGGAAAAGGGTCAGCTTCATACGGCTTATGTTTATATATGTGTGTGTGTGTGTGTGTGTGTGTGTGCAGGGCCGTAGCTGAGGTATGTGGGGCCCCGGTGAAGGTTGTACCTGTGGGCCCTATTTGAAATTGAGTAAATAGGCTAGCACAGATAAATAAATAGAACAAAAATGCAAATTCAATCATTTTTTTTTCAGGTTTAGCGGTGTTCAGGTACAGAATTGTTATCGACGAATGTAAAAGCATTGCATAGTCTTTACTGTTTAAATTATATATAGATTAATCCTTGTTAAAGCTACAAAATCCAAGTTATTCAAGAGCAGTGAGTAATTTTCTCTCTCTCTATTTTTTTTTGGATTAACATTAACGATACAGACAGCAGCTAGTAAATTAGGCGCAGTCACTTGCATGTATCCAATATAATGAAACGCATCTTTATCAACTGTTTATGTTCACTTATGACATAACCACCAGTTTTCGAGGATACTCAGCAAGACGGGTATTTTGAGAATTTTGTAATGTATTTGTCCGTTCAAGCGCAATAAGACACAAAAGAGAACTCGATTCTGTGGTTGCGCACATCATGCGAGTACTAAATTAAGTTATTTCATGTCTTCTTGCACTTGAATGCTTTAAAATCTCTTGAATGTTTAAACTGGCAAGGCTTAAAAACACATGCAAATGATAAGCTTTCGTGACGACGCACAACAGTGACCGATCGCACAGTCCATCAACTGTCCTGAGCGTCTTTATGAGTACATCTCATATCTTGACACCCTGCAGGATGATGCTGGCAAACTATCTGGGTCGGAAGGGCTCTGAGGTGCGTCTGAAGGGAGTGGTGGTTTTCTCGGCAGGCTGGGATGTGTTTGAGTGCACAGCTTCACTGGAAAAGCCCCTGGACCGCTTCCTCTTCAACTCCTACCTCACCAGCTGCCTGCAGGCATCCGTGGACCGGTCAGTGGTAGTCAGAGGGGGATAAACCCGGCTTAATTCACCGTAGTCTAGTGTGTGTGTGTGTAGTGACGTCGCAGAGGACATTGTCCTTGACTGCCCCTCTTTTTGGGTCAGATCTCTTTTTGAGTGTTACCAAATGTGCCAAATAAGATTAAATGGAATTTATGTATTTTGCTGAAGTACACTGAGTTTCAGAACAGGCTGGTGAAATGAAATGAACACTTTGCACATAAGGGGCTTATTCTACTTTAATGAACTCTTAATCAGCTTATCAAAAACGTACAAAAAAATGCAATGGCGGTACCATGGTACAGTGTGTTTGATATACAGTAGTCAACATTTGAAGTGGATCAAAACCTTTCATCAAAAAAATACCCGTTTTTGTCTTAGGACAACTTTGATTAACTTTTTTGATCCACTTCACATATTAACTACTGTATACCATGATACTACTGAATGGCTGTCTGAAATAGAACACTAGCGTAACTACTCTAACTATATGTGTAGTATGCCGTATACTGTGCACAGTATGCACATTTTCTGTATGCATATATTAACCAAATAACCTTCTACATTTGCAAGAGAGCACATTACGTTGGGTACACTCTCCCACAAATGCTGTGCACTCAACTTGACCTGCCATTTCTAGTGTTATGGATCAACCAGAATGAATGTCAACCACAAATTTGACATCTCTTTGATTTTTTCATTTGATTGGGCAGCTAAACACAGTTTTACACAAAATTCAGTTCAAAATGCAAAATAACTTTTGTAAGGGATGACAACTCTGAATTGAATTTGCAATATGATTTTTGTAACATTTGTCACTGCAAAATTTGTACTGTTTCACATACTATTTTTAAGTATTAGTATGCAGTACAGTGTATGCTGCACAGAATAAAATTCAAGAACCATATTTACCACATGGAAAAAAAGTTTCCAAATCTAAATTACCTTGTTTTTTTATGCCTTATTTATATCCATCCATCCATTTTCCAAACTGCCTGTCCTATGTTAGTATTTGAATAATGTGCTTAAAGGAATAGTTCACCCAAAAATGAAAATATGCTAAAAATGTACTCTTCCCCAGACCATCAAAGATGTAGATGAGTTTGTTTCTTCATGGGAACAGATTTGGAGAAAACCATAATTCCATCACTTGCTCACCAATGGATGCTCTGCAGTGAATGGGTGCCGTCAGAATGAGAGTCCAAACAGCTGATAATAACATCACAAGTAATCCACAGACTGATTCTGATGGCCCCCATTCATTGCAGAGGATCCATTGGCGAGCAAGTGATGTAATGCTACACTTCTCCAAATCTGGCACCTTGAAGAAACAAACTCATCTACATTTTGGATGGTCTGAGTGAAAGAAAATGGTCAGCAAATTTTAATTTTTGGGTGAACTATTCCTTTATATCATTATATCAATTATATCATTATTATGAATACAGTTATGAATACGTTCTTGTTATATGAAGATTATCCCAATCCTCATTGTGACATTTTCCTCTTTTCTTTATGCAGTCACAGAACCATTCTTGAAAAAAAATATGACATAGACCATGTAATGAAGGTGAGTTATTCATTCTGACTTACACAATATTGTGTCACATTTGTCACATGTTAATGTAATAGTATTATTGCTTGCATTCCACAGGCTAAGACAATTCGAGAGTTTGATGAACGTTTCACATCAGTCATGTTCGGTTATCCATCCAATGACGACTACTATCGAGACGCGAGCCCCATTCACAAGATCAAGTCTGTGCAGGTGCCAATGCTGTGCCTCAATGCAGCGGACGATGTCTTTTCCCCCAATCATGGTGAGTCGGCCAGATTTATTAGGGCTGCGTGAGAGACTATAGCCCATTATAAAAAATATTTTCCGTCAGTGTTAATTTTGACAGCAAATTTTGATTTAGTTTTAGTCATAGTCTTTTAACTAAAATGCCATTTAGTTTTAGTCATATTTTAGTCATCTAAATTGTTTTTAGTTTTAGTCGACTAAATATTATACGATTTTAGTAGACTAAATCTACAGTAAATTTAGTTGGCTAAAATCTAATGGGTTTAGTTACAGTGCATTTATTAAGCATTTCTCTAAAATTTCCAAACTCATGATATAGGTTTAATATTAAGGTTTTATCATGATAGACACCGATTTAACTGCGGTGACACACAACATGACTTTATGTTAAAATTAAATAAAACCACTTCTCATAAAGAACAAGAACATGGTCTTCTTCATTCTTTATTCTTTCAAGCAGACATATTTATTTCTATAAATACATTGAGATTAATCTTTAGGGCTACTAAAGTTTTTCAGTCAAATGCAGTGCATGATTTTCTGTCTTTCTGTTGTTGCTTGATTAACATCAATGACTCGGACAATAGCAACTAAATGAGGCTGCTGTCCCTTTAAAACCGAATGCACA